AGTTGGGGAGACACACGTGTAGGCTGGCAAGCTAGATAGCCTAAAGAACAATGCAGCAGCCAATGCCTGAGAGCTGGGCTGTTGAAGGTGGCTACAAGCTTCCCTCTTCCCAGCTGCATAGGGAGAGAAAGAGGCTCTGAGGGGCTGGTGGTCTCCTGAACAATATCATGGGAACCAAAGCCAGAGAAGTGCAGCTGGACTGCCGGGACACTATAACGAAAAACCCATCTTCAAAATTAATCGTGGTGGAAAAATCAACCAATGTTATGTCAGTAAGTATTTTTAACTATGAATCATAGTGGGGGGGGGAGGGTAAGGGCTGGAGAGGAGTGCGTGAAGGCTGCTTCAAGGTGATAGAATAAATTAATGTCACCATAGAATTAAGAAATGGCTGCTGCAGAGTTTGGTCACATTGTGCCACAGAGTCCATGGGGCCTTGATCTTTAGTTAAAAACCACTGTCTATTTCTCCAAGTCTGGATTTAAATAGACTGACAAATAAGTAAAGAAAGCTTCAGTTGCTGTTCAGTAACAAAACTCTCTCGCTTTTCTAGAGAGAGAGAGAGACTTAAGCTGGCTATTGCTCTCCTGTAATTTAAGATAGACTTAAAATGGCACATTCACACTGGATGAAATTCACCCCTGTGCAGATGCCAGCAAAAGGCCTATGCACCACTTAAGTACCATTGAAAATAGGGTGTAAGCAGCCATCTCAGCCTACTGCTGGCCAACCACACAGAGGTACATTTCACCCCATAAGCATATATGTAACCAGATTTTGCTAGGAAACAATTTTAATTATATTATTTTATTTGGCAGGGGCTTTTATCAGAGTAATTTCTGAAGACAAGTTATTCTCTTAGGGTGAAATCCTGGCTCCACTGAAGTCACTGAACACGATGGTGAGAAATTTTGCAATGCTTGTACCTCTATGCCAGAGAATAGACCTTTTGGGTGTTCAACAGGGTATTTCTCATCTGTACTAGATTTCCTAGTGCATAAAGTTGATTAAAAAGCAGAGATGAAAAAACTAAAACTAAAAGTAACAAAACAGGGAGGTACAATTAGTTGGTGTGGTGAGCCAATCATGTTTAGTATATCTCAGAGGCATTTAGCATTTTTAAAAGATGGAGGTTTCTTCATATGTCTTTTTGTGCTCCTGATATTAAGAATATATAGCCTCTCATTTCAAATATTTTTTCATAGTAATAAGAAAACAACTCTAGATCTGTTTTAGGCAGCCACCAAGATGTACCCAAGGGGTGTAATTATCACTTACTATATTAAAAAGAAGGTAATGCAGCACAAATGTCCCGAGATAAACAAGGATACTAGAAAAATAATTGCTTCCAGTTTTCTTTTCTTCCAGAGATACCTAATATTGCTCATTGAGTGTGTGTATATGTATATATAAAAAAAATTTTAAACAAGCTTTATCCATGCCTTTTGGCAATGTAATTGGCTGCTTCTTGATTACCTAGGTAAATTGCACTTGGACCAACAGGGATTTTAAAAGTCCTGACTGATGCAAGGTAACTAAAGATACCTAATATTGAAAGTTTATTTTGTTAAGGGCAGGTGATATGCTCAACAGTGCACACAGCACACATGACCACAGTCCCTGCCCTGTGGAGCTTACAGTCTGAAGTTCTGATCCTGCAGTGTCCACATGGAGCCGATTTCAGGATCAGGACCTAAAAATAAATATAGATAAGACACAATGTCCCAGGATACCCAGCAGAGGCATTAGTTTAGCACTTGCTGTCAATACACTTGTACATCAGAAATTATTGTTCATCTTCTGGCCAGAGTTCATCCATCCAAACTTATCAAAGAGACAGAATAACTGAGTATCCATATTGTCATTATCAATTAAGACATTTTGAAAGTTATTACAAATTTCCCTGTTGGGAAAAATCCAGTACATGGGGGGATATCAGTGCTTCTGATTTTTTCAGAATTTCACTGTATCCTTACCACACAAGGTCAGCTTTTTATCTAATGAGACTTTGGAAGAATAGTTTTATGTATGAAACAAAGGGCTTAATTCTGTGTCACACTACTGCATATTTGGCATAAATCCCCCTAAATCAACAGAGTTAGCCAATGTAGGTGAGATAAGGGTCAGTCAAAAAGACTTAGATATAATACATTTACATTTCTCAATCTTAATACATTATTGAGGATCTGAGTGGTGCATGATGGCCATAATCAATTGTGTATTTGATATAAACTTTACGTTAGCTAATGGCAGATGGGTTAATGGATGCTCCCTTTTCCTTCCTCCTTCTCCTCATGTGGAGATATGTAGAGAGAGTTCAAGAGGGATGACTGAATTTAAGCTAACATCATAAAAGTGACACTGGGTTATAGAATACTGTAGCTGGGAAAGTTACTCTGCCCCACCCAGTATGGACCCATAGTTTAAGAAGGGCATTGAAAAGCTAAAGAATATACACACAGCAAAAAATAATTATTTAGTGAATGATGTATAAAATAGGAAGTTAGACTGAAGGAGCTCAAATTCTACAGACTTCCAACGAGAAGAATCAGGGGAGAAAAGATCATGTTGTATAAATACTTTCAAAGGAAGAGGATAATTCACATTACCAAAAATGATAAAACAAAGAGTAATGGCCTAAAACTAAGGAAGGAAAAGTGTAACAGTTAAAGTAATTAAGCACTGGAATAGACCATGGTATCAGGGGAGAGGGGTCAAGCAAAGATATGAGTGAGAATGCAGTAGAAAGAAGGGATTAAAGTCAAAATTACTTTAGTGTTTGTGAAGGTGCAAAATTAATAGAAGCAGAGAACTATGTCCTCTCTCTATCCACAGAAGAGTTATAGGGCCCTGCAAACTGATCCACACAGGCGGAACTTCGTAGTCTTCAGTGGATCTCTGCAGAGGGACATGGGTCTGCCCACATAGACCAAAACTGCAAGATCAGGACCATAATGTGGACACTGTAGCATACTACACAGCTAGTGTTCCTGATGTAGAAGGACATACTCTTGGGGTGAGAGGATAGTTCAGACTGCTGCTGTAACATGCACAAGGAGCAGACAGATGATCAGTTCACCATGACTCTCTCTCTCTAATCGATCCTCTTTACTGCATTGAACATAAATTTGACAAAGCAGATAATCTGGCCCAGAATGATTGCAAGCCACGCCACTTTCTGGTCCAAATGCAAAATTCACTGATTTGACCCTGATTCACACATAGGGGGAAGGTGAAGAAGAAACTTCATTTGACTGACATTATAAACTTTTTAACTCTAGTAGTTGCTCAGACACCACAGTAATGGACACGATATAAGATCGTAAACAGAATGGAATTCCTGGCTCCCAGAATACCCTTGGGATCAAGGTAGGGGAATGGTCTTACCTGCCCTGCACTCAAAAGGGAGCAATTGGGTGATGCCCTCTGAAAACTCAGGGTGGGAAAATTCACCTAACCCTAACCCAGACCAAGTAAGTAGCAGGAGTCTGGAGCAGGCAACTGGAATCTCTGAATATGTGGTACAATCATATAGTCTATATTTCTTTTTTATCTGTAATATTTATCCTGCTGCCCACTGCATGCAGAAAGAGAAGTCAGAGAAAGGTAAGGCCACTTCGTGGCTTCTCGGAAGACCCTTGGGTTTGGACAAGCAGTAGCTGCCGCACTGCTTTCTTTCATTATCTACACAATACATAAAGGTATTTTAAGCTCCCTGGTTCAGATTTAGTAATAGCCTGTCCATAGTTCTAGTCGCAAAATGGATGAGCCTTTAGGAATAGATGATAGAACACATTCTATTCAATTAATTTTCAAATTCTTGCTTGTGAAATCCAATGAATATTTGTTTAAACATGCTACATAGTAGTATTTGATTAAGCATGGTAAAGGAAGTCCTCTCTTGGTTTTCCATGTCCTGCAGCATTTTAAGATTCCCTCCTCTTCTTTTCCTTTTCCAAAGGAACCTAGATATGTATAACTTGATTTGGATGAAAAATTCCTTTGGGAGAGATGGAGACAAGTATTGAAACAAATAATGCATATAATATTTAATGATTTATCTAAGATAAAGAAGAAAATCAAAATTAATGAGAACCCTGGAAGCGAGACGGTCAGAAATAATGCTCAACATGCATGTGACTACAATACATTCTCTCTCTCATGGAGGGAATTTCAGAGAAGGATAACTTGATTTTCAGTGACCCCATCATCCTAAAGAGAATTGTTCGTATTTAGTGAGAAGGGTATGGTCTTACACATGTCTTGCAAGTGTCCAAAGATGGATTTGGATTGGATCCAGGTTCATAACAAGGTACTGTACACTTGAATAAAAAAGGTCTCTTCCATTTTAGGACACTTTCCGGCAGAAATCAGTTTCTAAAGAAAGATATGTGTAAAATATTGACATTAGACACTGTGTACCAGTACTGTGGCCAGGTAAAGAAATAACTGGGGACAACATGGATAAGAAAACCTCAAGAGATGGAGTTCATCACCTCCAAATTACAATACTCAGAAAGTATTTCTAGAAAGGCAAGACTTGATTAGCCTATTGTTTAATCAGGTAAATTGAGGACATCCAATTCTATAGGCAGTACTGAGCATTGTGTCGATAAAAAATAGCCAGATGAGAACTTTTTTAATGTCTGGACTGTTTTCAGATTAATTGGAATACATAATTAAAGTAATTATACTCTGGTGTTATGATGGATGTCTCAGTGTTTCTTGGAAGAAGTCCAGCAGGTTGTCTGACCAAGGTTCTTACACAGGATAATGATTTTGAAATGGTTCCTTACTAGCAATGAGGAAAGAGTATTTGTACAGTGTCTGAATTTTACTTGTATTCATTTTTCCTTTCTGTGTCCTAAAGAAAGATGTCAATTAAGAGTAAACAATTGAAAAGAAGATCCCAGGTATATTTGCTAACTAGCATCACACTCTTGAAGCTAAGTGAAAAATGGCCTAATGTTTCAATATCCTTGCCCTGGTCTACACTAGGACTTTAGGTCGAATTTAGCAGCGTTAAATCGATTTAAACCTGCACTCGTCCACACAATGAAGCCCTTTATTTCGACTTAAAGGGCTCTTAAAATCGATTTCCTTACTCCACCCCTGACAAGTGGATTAGCGCTTAAATCGACGTTGCCGGCTCGAATTTGGGGTACTGTGGACACAATTCGATGGTATTGGCCTCCGGGAGCTATCCCAGAGTGCTCCATTCTGACCGCTCTGGACAGCGCTCTCAACTCAGATGCACTGGCCAGGTAGACAGGAAAAGAACCGCGAACTTTTGAATCTCATTTCCTGTTTGGCCAGCGTGGCAAGCTGCAGGTGACCATGCAGAGCTCATCAGCAGAGGTGACCATGATGGAGTCCCAGAATCGCAAAAGAGCTCCAGCATGGACTGAACGGGAGGTACGGGATCTGATCGCTGTTTGGGGAGAGGAATCCGTGCTATCAGAACTCCGTTCCAGTTTTCGAAATGCCAAAACCTTTCTGAAAATCTCCCAGGGCATGAAGGACAGAGGCCATAACAGGGACCCGAAGCAGTGCCGCGTGAAACTGAAGGAGCTGAGGCAAGCCTACCAGAAAACCAGAGAGGCGAACAGCCGCTCTGGGTCAGAGCCCCAAACATGCCGCTTCTATGATGAGCTGCATGCCATTTTAGGGGGTTCAGCCACCACTACCCCAGCCGTGTTGTTTGACTCCTTCAATGGAGATGGAGGCAATACAGAAGTAGGTTTTGGGGACGAAGAAGATGATGATGAGGAGGTTGTAGATAGCTCACAGCAAGCAAGCGGAGAAACCGGTTTTCCCGACAGCCAGGAACTGTTTCTCACCCTAGACCTGGAGCCAGTACCCCCGAACCCACCCAAGGCTGCCTCCTGGACTCAGCAGGCGGAGAAGGGACCTCTGGTGAGTGTACCTTTTAAAATGCTATACATGGTTTAAAAGCAAGCATGTGAAAGGATTACTTTGCCCTGGCATTTGCGGTTCTGCCTTTGCAAAAGGTTTCTGGGGGAGGGCAGCCTTATTTCGTCCTTCATGGTAGGACACTTTACCACTCCAGGCCAGCAACACGTACTGGGGAATCACTGTAGAACAAAGCATTGCAGTGTATGTTTGCTGGCATTCAACCAAAATCACGCGGTGGGAGGAGGCAAAATGCGACCTTGTAACGAAAGCACATGTGCTATGTATGTAATGTTAACAGCAAGGTTTACCCTGAAAGAGTGTAGCCACTGTTTTATAAAATGTGTCTTTTTAAATACCGCTGTCCCTTTTTTTTCTCCACCAGCTGCATGTGTTTCAATGATCACAGGATCTTCTCCTTCCCAGAGGCTAGTGAAGCTTAGAAAGAAAAAAAAACGCACTCGCGATGAAATGTTCTCCGAGCTCATGCTGTCCTCCCACACTGACAGAGCACAGACGAATGCGTGGAGGCAAATAATGTCAGAGTGCAGGAAAGCACAAAATGACCGGGAGGAGAGGTGGCGGGCTGAAGAGAGTAAGTGGCGGGCTGAAGAGAGTAAGTGGCGGGCTGAAGACAGGGCTGAAGCTCAAAGGTGGCGGCAGCGTGATGAGAGGAGGCAGGATTCAATGCTGAGGCTGCTGCAGGACCAAACCAGTATGCTCCAGTGTATGGTTGAGCTGCAGCAAAGGCAGCTGGAGCACAGACTGCCACTGCAGCCCCTCTGTAACCAACCGCCCTCCTCCCCAAGTTCCATAGCCTCCACACCCAGACGCCCAAGAACGCGGTGGGGAGGCCTCCGGCCAACCAGCCACTCCCCCACAGAGGATTGCCCAAAAAAAAGAAGGCTGTCATTCAATAAATTTTAAAGTGCTGTGCTTAAAGTGCTGTGTGGCATTTTCCTTCCCTCCTCCACCACCCCTCCTGGGATACCTTGGTAGTCATCCCCCTATTTGTGTGATGAATGAATAACGAATGCATGACTGTGAAGCAGCAATGACTTTATTGGCTCTGCAAGCAATGATTAAAGGGAGGAGGGGAGGGTGGTTAGCTTACAGGGAAGTAGAGTGAACCAAGGGGTGGGGGGGTTCATCAAGGAGAAACAAACAGAACTTTCACACCGTAGCCTGGCCAGTCATAAAACTGTTTTTCAAAGCTTCTCTGATGCGTACCGCGCCCTCCTGTGCTCTTCTAACCGCCCTGGTGTCTGGCTGCGCGTAACCAGCAGCTAGGCGATTTGCCTCAACCTCCCACCCCGCCATAAACGTCTCCCCCTTACTCTCACAGATATTGTGGAGCACACAGCAAGCAGTAATAACAGTGGGAATATTGGTTTCGCTGAGGTCTAAACGAGTCAATAAACTGCGCCAGCGCGCCTTTAAACGTCCAAATGCACATTCTACCACCATTCTGCACTTGCTCAGCCTGTAGTTGAACAGCTCCTGACCACTGTCCAGGCTGCCTGTGTACGGCTTCATGAGCCATGGCATTAAGGGGTAGGCTGGGTCCCCAAGGATACATATAGGCATTTCAACATCCCCAACAGTTATTTTCTGGTCTGGGAATAAAGTCCCTTCCTGCAGCTTTTGAAACAGACCAGAGTTCCTGAAGATGCGAGCATCATGCACCTTTCCCGGCCATCCCACGTTGATGTTGGTGAAACGTCCCTTGTGATCCACCAGAGCTTGCAGCACTATCGAAAAGTACCCCTTGCGGTTTATGTACTCGGCGGCTTGGTGCTCCGGTGCCAAGATAGGGATATGGGTTCCATCTATAGCCCCACCACAGTTAGGGAATCCCATTGCAGCAAAGCCATCCACTATGACCTGCACATTTCCCAGGGTCACTACCCTTGATATCAGCAGATCTTTGATTGCGTGGGCTACTTGCATCACAGCAGCCCCCACAGTAGATTTGCCCACTCCAAATTGATTCCCAACTGACCGGTAGCTGTCTGGCGTTGCAAGCTTCCACAGGGCTATCGCCACTCGCTTCTCAACTGTGAGGGCTGCTCTCATCTTGGTATTCATGCGCTTCAGGACAGGGGAAAGCAAGTCACAAAGTTCCATGAAAGTGCCCTTACGCATGCGAAAGTTTCGTAGCCACTGGGAATCGTCCCAGACCTGCAACACTATGCGGTCCCACCAGTCTGTGCTTGTTTCCCGAGCCCAGAATCGGCGTTCCACAGCATGAACCTGCCCCATTAGCACCATGATGCATGCATTGTCAGGGCCCATGCTTTCAGAGAAATCTGTGTCCATGTCCTGATCACTCACGGGACCGCGCTGACGTCGCCTCCTCGCCCGGTATCGCGTTGCCATGTTCTGGTGCTGCATATACTGCTGAATAATGCGTGTGGTGGTTAATGTGCTCCTAATTGCCAAAGTGAGCTGAGCGGGCTCCATGCTTGCCGTGGTATGGCGTCCGCACAGAAAAAAGGCGCGGAACGATTGTCTGCCGTTGCTCTGACGGAGGGAGGGGCGACTGACGACACGGCTTACAGGGTTGGCTTCAGGAAGCTAAAATCAACAAAGGGGGTGCCTGTACATCAAGGAGTATTTCAGGCAGGACTGCACGGAGGGTTCCAATAAGAAATGGTGCACCTAAGTTATCGTTGTTATTGGAACAAGGAGGTTAGCCTGGCCTCTGATTGATACATGGCTAGATTTACCTCGCTGCACCTTCTCTGTGAGTGACTGCAGTGTGACCTAGAGGAATGAGTCCCCTAGACAGGGGAGGAGGCAAATGAGTACAAAACAAATCTGGTCTATTTCTTGTTTTGACCCACTCCATCTATCTTTTACATCTTTGGCTGGCAGCAGACGGTGCAGAAGGACTGCATGCCATCCACATCTCATGGCTGCTCGGCAGAAGATGGTACAGTACGCCTGCTAGCCATCCCCATCTCTTGCCTGCCTGGCAGAAGATGGTGCAATACGACTGCTAGCAATCCTCATCTCTTGCCTGCCTGGCAGAAGATGGTACAGTACGACTGCTAGCAGTCCGTATCGCCTGCCTGCTCACCATAAGACGGTTCAATAGGACTGACTGCAGGACTAAAGAGAATGACCTGGTCAAGTCACTCCAAATTTAGTCCCTGCGCCCATGTCTGCCCAGGCGCTCCCAGCCAACGCGGCCAGGAGCACCTCGGACACGATGAGGACGACTACCAATCGTATTGCACCACCGTCTGCTGCCAGAAGGCAAGGGGTTGCTGCTACTGTGCAGCAAAGCCGTACCGCGTCTGCCAGCACCCAGGAGACATAGGGTGACGGTTACCTGAGCGGGCTCCATGCTTGCTGTGGTATGGCGTCTGCACAGGTAACTCAGGAAAAAAGGCGCGAAATGATTGTCTGCCCTTGCTTTCACGGAGGGAGGGAGGGAACGGGGGCCTGACGACACGTACCCAGAACCACCCGCGACAATGTTTTAGCCCCATCAGAGCGCTCCATTGTGACTGCTCTGGACAGCACTCTCAGATGCCCGATTGTTTGCCATTGCTCTGACGCTGGGAGGGGCGCTTACAGGGTTGGCTTCAGGGAGCTAAAATCAACAAAGGGGGTGGCTTTACATCAAGGAGTATTTCAGGCAGGACTTCACAGAGGGTTCCAATAAGAAATGGTGCACCTAAGTTATTGTCCTTATTGGAGCAAGAAGGTTAGCCTGTTCTCTGATTGATACATGGCTAGATTTACCTCGCTGCACCTTGACTGCAGTGTGATCTAGAAGAATGAGTCCCCTAGACAGGGGAGGGGGGAAGCAAATGAGTACAAAACAAATCTGGTCTATTTCTTGTTTTGACCCACTCCATCTATCTTTTACATCTTTGGCTGGCAGCAGACGGTGCAGAAGGACTGCATGCCATCCACATCTCATGACTGCTCGGCAGAAGATGGTACAGCACGACTGCTAGCAGTCCGTATCGCCTGCCCGCTCACCATAAGACGGTTCAATAGGACTGACTGCAGGACTAAAGAGAATGACCTGGTCAAGTCACTCCAAATTTAGTCCCTGTGCCCATGTCTGCCCAGGCGCTCCTGATCGACCTCACAGAGGCGACCAGGAGCACCTCAGACATGACGATGACGGCTACCAGTCGTACTGTACCGTCTGCTGCCACAAGGCAAGGGGTTGCTGCTACTGTGTAGCAATGCCGTACCGCGTCTGCCAGCACCCAGGAGACATAGGGTGACGGTTACCTGAGCGGGCTCCATGCTTGCCATGGTATGGCGTCTGCACAGGTAACTCAGGAAAAAAGGCGCGAAATGATTGTCTGCCCTTGCTTTCACGGGGGGAGGGAGGGAACGGGAGGCTGACGATATGTACCCAGAACCACCCGCGACAATGTTTTAGCCCCATCAGGCATTGGGATCTCAACCCAGAATTCCAATGGGCAGCGGAGACTGCGGGAACTGTGGGATAGCTACCCACAGTGCAACGCTCCGGAAGTCGACGCTTGCCTCGGTACTGTGGAAGCGCTCCGCCGAGTTAATGCACTTAATGCACTTAGAGCATTTTCTGTGGGGACACACACACTCGAATTTATAAAACCGATTTCTAAAAAACCGACTTCTATAAATTCGACCTTATTCCGTAGTGTAGACATACCCCTTGTATATGCCATAGAACGGCTATGGAGAGCACATAAAAATTAGTCAGGCACACTCTTCCCAAAGTAGATTATGGTGCAAAACAGACTGAGCTAAGCCAGGCAGGCAAATTGACATATACCAATATTAACTAGGGGGAAAAAACAGGAAGAACGTCAGTTTTCATTTTGGTCTCAGAAAAATACACTAACAAATCAGTGTACAACAAAACACACGGAATAATTCTTTTCCTCTCTTCTGGTATGTAAACAGCTGGTAGACTCTTTCTGCACTATTCCTTTGTAAAAAGTTCTGGGATAAAGTGTTAGGTCAGAAGGTTCCATGGAGGTTGGATTTGGACATTTAGGACCCAATCTAAAGTCCACCAATGTCAATGGGAGACTCTCTGTTGACTTGAGTGATCTTCAGATTAGAGAGGAGAGTTCTGTAGAGAATAACCAGACAGCAGCAGCTGTATCCCTGTGAGGAGAAGAGAACGGGGAAGCAGGCAGTGAGAGAAAGTTGATAGGAAGCCAGGTTCAGTGGGAGAAAAGAACACTGTCAGGGAGGTGGGGAAAAAAGCAAGAGAGGAAATCACAAATGCAAGGAGCGGCTGAAATCCCATTGAAGACACACAAGTGAAGCAGCTCTTCAATATCTCATTACACTAACCACGCAGAGTTTGGTTCAGTCTAAGAATTAGCAGATCATTTCTTTTTCTCTTTGAGTCAGTTCTTGCCTCTGACAGTAACAAGTCACGTTTAGTGAGGAGGATCATCAGCAGCCAATACTACTGGTAATGTGGCACTTTAATAACACAGTGTGGTCATCATGGTTGTAATAACTACTAAATCATGGGAGTCTGGGTCGTCCTTTGGTGGGCTCAGATCTTTCCCTTCCACAGAGATTGCAAAACAACTTATCCTAATAACGCAAGAGTTTCTTTGCTGTTCCCTCAGCCCTTCCTCCCTCAGTGCAGAAGGAAATGAACTAGCTCCAGAGAATTCCAAACCCTGTAGATCCTTAAGTAGGCCAGTGGCATTGCAGACCTGCCTAGTGTCTCATATCTCACATTGGATAGGTCTGTTATGCATTTCTACAGGCTGGAAAGTGTCAGGCTCATCTACAAGATAACATATTCTTCTGGACTACTG